GGCGACACAGAGCGGTCTCGGGAGCCGCATATCGCGTCAGGATCGGAACCTGAACTGTCTCTGCCGTGGGAACTGATCAGAAGAACTTTGCAAGCCTTTGAAGAACTGCACTAGAGGTGCTTATCAAGGAATAAACACCTTTCTTCGCCCTGCAAGGGTTAAGCATGATCAGAATCTGCTTTAGACTCAAGGATTTAACCTCAAGTGCTGCATTTTTCTGTTTGCCATAAGCCTATTACAACTCTCTCTGTTTCCTAGCAATAACATGTCATTTCCCCCCCCTATTTAAGTGAAGGAGATGTTGGGGTTTTAATCCTGTACTCTACAGCTGTTGCTCAAGTTTCCTATTCAAATGCCAATAGCACCTGGTGCTATTTAGATACCCGTGTACTCTGTGATAAAGATACAGGAAAAAAAGAAAAGTAAGGTGGGTCTGACCCTGTTTATTCTGGAAAGTGAGAGTGTAACCATATGCTCCCAGCAACCTGCACTGGAAATTTCTACCAGATTTGCTGCATCCAGCACATACTCTTTTTGGAGACAAATGCACGGCTGAAATGATTTATGTGTCTTGAGCCGGTCTGATTGTGCACCAGGAAGAACAAAAGGCTTCCAGAAAAGATAAAAATATCATGGATAAGTCTAGGCAAAAGTGCTGATTTGGTTAGTGTTCGTACCTTGCCTGAGTCTCCTGAAAGGAGTTTCTTTTGGGGGTATTTTGTTTGTTTCCTCAAATCACATATTGTTTTCTGGATTTTCATTTATAGCTTTGAGAATATTGATTTTTAAAAAAAATTCCCATATTTTTTCCTTGCACTGTTTTTTCTCTGTGTAAATAGATGTTACAAGAAATAAATGAGAAAGTTGGGAGCAACTTGGAAGGCAGCTACACTGCTTAGGACTCATAAACAAGAGATACCATATCAATTCTTGATTAAAAGCAAACCTGTCCCAGATTCAGGTTAAAATAACCTTCTACTGTGGGAAGTTGCAATTGCATAAATGGGTTTTATTTCACTTGTGGAGTTGTGAGTTTATTCAAGACAGACGCTGCAGCCTTCATTGCATTTTGCGTGACTTTTTTACCCTGTATTACAAATGGACCCTTCTTTTTGAGAGTTGTGATTTGATACCATTGTGTTCTTGCTAAAAATAAAGCATCTACATGGCACAAGGTGCAATTCAGATCTCTGTAAAAGCAAAAGTGAGCGTTTTTAAAGATTTTTAAAGGAGACATTTAGAAACTTGCGGAAGATTCCAAGGAACATCTGAAAGGAACCACCTTTAAAATCGATCTCTCTGAATTTACAAAAAAACCAGAAGCAGCAATTCATTGGAAAGTGAGACTCTGCCAACAAGAATACCAGCTTCTGTGGGAGAAAACTGGATATAAAGCATAAACGATTGCTACAAAGTTTGCGAAGAACAAAAATTATTCCAGTCCTGCTGTCAAGCACTGACGGATCTTTTCTTGCTTAACACAAATCTGCCTTGGCTGCTGCTTTTTCATCTTTAGCCTGATACTAGAATTAAAAGAGATTCCCTGGCTTTCACCAAACTTCAGCAAATGCCTTTTGCAAATTGGGTGCTGGGAGCGTGAGCAGCAAGTGGTTCATAGGTGCTTCCCATGATAATAAAAGGCACCTTTGAGAGGAAAACCCACACAGGAGCAGATTTGCTGGATCATATTTTCTCTTGTGAGGCTCCTTCCTCATTAGCTTCTTCAGGTGGGTGTGAGCAACCGACACGGAACTGAGTCAAGGTTCAGCCTTGGATTGTCAACCTGCTCTGGCTGCTAACAGCAGCGTGCCAGCAAGATGATGGAAGAAATCTCCATAACGGTGGCTTACGATGCCCATGTTTTTAGCCAGCTGTACGATGAAGACTTTCTGGCCAATCTGGTGGCAGTCAGTAAACCAAAATCTGTGGTAGGTGTTGCTCTTGCTCCTTTACCAACAATGCTTAAGGTTATGCTTTTCCAGTAGTTCAGTCCTTCTGCTGAAAGTGATTATTTCTTTTCTCTTTTTATTACTTTTTCAGAAATTTGCCTTTGTGCATCCACAAAATTAATTTATTTCGGAAGGGATAAGATTATGAAAATAATATCTTTCTGAGTTACTAAGTTTAGGAGAAGGTGATTTGCTCAGTAGGATAATAATGACAATACTATTTTTTAAATAGTTGAAATAATAAACTGGAAAATGGCATCAAATGATGTAAACACTTTCTGTGGTTTAGCCTGTCAAAGAGTCTGGCCAGATGCTCACCGTACAGCCAGGATCTGGTATGTAAGATCACTGTCATTACTAAAGCTAAGAGAATCTGTCCCTTGCCTGAGAGTGGTGATCTAACACTTATGTATGTTCTTTTGAAATCAGCATAAGTAGCTGTAGAAACTTCTTAGCTAAACAACGACTTCCTTTTGTCATGCATAGTGTCTATCTTTATCTAAATGGTGTGTGTGGTGTGGTCATCTTCCTCCCTTGTGGAGATCCCAGCACTTCCAGGGAGCAGCACTGGAGGCACTAGTTTTAAGTCTGAAGTTTGGTGCCAAAATTTATCTTTGATCTCAAATTCTACAGATGAACCCATGTGTAAGCCAGTCTCCCTAGAATCAATCAGAAGTCTTTGAAGATAAAAATGTGTGTGTAGGTGTTGAGCTTAACTTGAAAGCAGATAGAGTTAAAATGTCAGTCTGTATACAAATCAGGCTAATTATTTAGCAACCCAATTAAGCATTTGTTTGTGGATTTTGGTCTGTATACGGGTTCTTATCCAGGTAGTTCGCTAAGCTCTGACAAAGAAGGGTGTTCTCAAAAGAGGAAAAAATTGTTTTATTTCTCTCTTGTGTAAAACCTCTCTACGCCTTTTTCCTGCTTGGGTTTTTCTACCTGTCCATGCTCAAGTAACCTCAGGTACATGAACTCATCATCTGCAGCTCCAGTAGACCTCTGGATCTAAGCCAGAGTTCTGCCCAAGTCCTTTTATTATAATGCCTTCTTCTGTCTCCGGCCTCCTCTGGACTAGAATTTAGGCCCATTAAAAGAGATAACTAATAAATCTGGAGATCCAGTATAGACAAAACAGTGGCTTAATATGACTTGGCTGGAGATTGGGCTCAAAGTAGGTTTTATCTTATCCAGCATATTAGGAGTTGGAGACCTTTCCCATGCTGGATATTTTAAAATACCTGCTGTACCTTAATTCATTGTCCAGCCACTACCTTTCCTCTTTCTCTGCTTTAGCTGATTGCTAGGGCAGCATTTATTATTTTAATAATCTGGCATCTAGAATACTCTGGAAGCCCAGAGTAGCATCTTTCCTTCAGACAGGTCCCCTCTTGCAGTGGGATTAACAGGAGCCAGGTGCCTGGGGTGGGCTCTGGAGTGGCCCTTCTGTTGAGTTTCTCTGAGCGAATGCTGGAGACAGTGGGGCTTCCTGGGCGCCTCCCATTCTGAGCTGCTTGTGTGTTCTAGAGCCAGCACTGCAGTTGTTCGAATCATTGAATCATAGAATGCTTTAGGTTGGAAGGGACCTCCAAGATCATCAAGTCCAACCATTGAGCCATTAGGGCTCTAAAGTCCTCTGCTAAAATAGAATCCTTGTGGTAAAAAAATATTTCATGGATAGATTACTCTATGACTTAAATCTTTGAAAAATGCCTCTTAAACAGGCTCAGTGATGGCCCCTTTGCTTTTGTATAGCTTGGGAGGGAGAGTAACGGAGACTGTGTTACGTATGTTAAGATTCCTCTGGGTCAGCTGCGAGTGACTGGAGGAGAGAGTAACTGGTATCAAGAGCACCACCTTACAGCTCTGTGTGATTTTCACCATTCTGAAAATGCAGTGAAACATATTAAAAAAATATAATTATTTGTGAAATAACTACTTATCTCCTAGTAAATAGAGATACTTACATGGAACAACCATGGGAGGGGAAAGTATCATTATTGCTATTACTTAAAAGATTTGAATGATTGACTTCAGTTCAAGCACTTGTTCTTACCAAATCTTTTTTTCCTGAATCAAAAGGTATTAAAATGATGCAGTACATTATGTACCAGTAAATAAGTTAGGAAATGTTCGCATAGGAAATACTTAACTACACATTTAAATGATTTTGAAGTATATTAACTAAGCAAAAGATGCAAACAACCTGAGGAGGTTTAAGATGAAGCTCAACAGGATTATGATATGATTAGGTGGTGCGTGGGAGCCTGTACTACTAAAGGATGGGACCTGATGACTCAGAAAGTTTCTTTCAGTTCTCTGCTGCTATGTTTAATTGTGGGACAAGCTGCCAATTGGGATAAGTTGGGGCAAATCCTGTTGACCGTCCTGGTCATTCTACCAGATTGCAGAAAGGTATGTGCTGTACGTAAAGTAATGTTCTGCAGAAAGAATTTGGAGAGTTTTTGTTTATTCTGAAAGGTCACATTAATAGCACAGGTATTTTTGCAGTTTGGGATTCATCTGTTTGCAAAATCCAGGTTTCATATGTTTTTAAAGGGGTTCCTAGTATGCTGCTCTGATTGTAAAGAAAAGGGTTTTTTTATAATGTTCTTTAAAGGCTTTCATCTTGTTCTGCAGTTCGGATGTCAGGATGGCTTTGTTGTAGTTCCAGAAACTAGTAACTCATTATAGTTCATCTGGGTTGTGCAATAGTTCAGGGCGCAGAGGAGTGTCTCTGGCACAGAGGAGAGAGCCACGTGTTACAACGTGAAGTGGCAAAGGGTTGATACCGAAACCAAACCAGGCCCAGATGATCACTGTCCTGTGTCACTGATGCTTAAGGCCAGCCCTCCGTAACCTTCTGACAGGTCCAGTGCCACATAAGTAATGAACTTGGTGAGAAAGTTCAGAATGATCTGCTGTTGTCCACCTCACATCAATTCTAGTTGTGTTTTTCAGTGGAGATTGGGAATTTTTCAGTAGAGACCATAGCAATGTTTTTCTAGCATTGCTCTGATGCCCATAAATACTAAATAATTAAACAGACTGTAGATCAAGTTTTGTTAAATATGCTGCAAAACAACACTGTTCAAGAATGATCCCCCAACATATATTTTAATCAAATTAGTCATGTTGCAGTGTGACCATGACACATGGTTGTTTTGCTGTGTGGTCTTGTTTTCAAGATTTCAAGTTATTCTGAAACTACTTTGCACAGACATGCAAAGCAGCATATAGAAGTGGACTACTGTGTAGTTTGTGCAAGAACTGAGTAGCTTTACTGGAGGGAATTTACATTCTCAATTTATCTGCAGAAAATGTGGACCCAAGGGGTTATAGAAATGGTATACTTGGTGGTATAATCCTCTTAATCCAGAGTTGAAGGACATTCTTATGGAAAGCTTCATTGTATCTTCATTTGCCTGTCTGCCTTGTCCTGTTTAGCTCTCTGCTCAGTAGAGTTATCAGCAATTTTGTGGCATTTGTAGTTACACGCCAGCAGACTCTGCTGTAACGTTTTCTAGGCTCCTCGTTTCCCAGCAAAGCCAAACTCAGGAGCTTCAAAGCAGATGGGCCAACTGCAAAGTGGGTGAGAAGCTGGGTGGCCTGGCAGGAGCAAGGGGCATAGTGGTCAGTGGGTTGAAGTCTAATTGGTAGCTGGCTAAACTTTTTTGGGGGTTGATAGTGGGGCTGATACTGTTTATGGTAATGTGTAGTTGGCCTGTAATTTTGTTCATGCTTACTGGCCTTCATCATGCATTTGTTATTAAACACAAAAATTAATAATTGGTACTAAAATGCCTTAGGGCATTTATTTTTATGTTGCATCCCATTTGTGTTCTACTGTCCTAAACCTTCAATATGCAGCATGTTTTTGCATCTGTATGTTATTAATGCAGAGTAGAAATTGTCAAAGGTAAAGCTGTAGCCTCTGGTATGAGGGCAGAAGACAGACATGGCATTTGGAAGGTGGGAGGGCATGGAGCTAAACTCCTCACTGCCTAAGAAGCTGTCCAATGCTGCAGGGTGGCACCCAGCCCTGGTTTTTAGTATTGCATCAGTGCACGTCAGTCTAATGGTTTCCCTGTTTCGGCTAAACACTGTGTGGTGCAACCTGTGTCTGACAGTGTCACTGTGTCACCCACGCTTGGCACCAAAGGTTCAGTCGTGTGGAAATGAGATAGGTGGTTCATCCTGCCCACAGAGTGACAGGGGTTAAAGCTAGGCATATCTTCATCTTGTGGTTATCTGAGCTTCATCTCTTTCAGCCTACTTTGTTCCAGTAGCATCTTTTGAAATTAAAAACTCAATATGTGAAGCCCTCTCCTTGAAAAGCATCCAGCTCTCATTTGAGTGTAGCAGGGGATGGGAAAGGTATCATTTTCCATCCTAATCTGTTACTCTCTCGCTGTTCAAATATGTTTGTAACGTCTCATTTAGATTGATTCTGGTTTCAGCTTCCCATCCTGGGTCTGGTGTGTATCCCTGTGCCAGAGTACAGCTTTCTGTACCGTTGCTTATTTTACTCCTATGAAGGTGCTTACATACTGTGACCAACTCAGCTGTCTGTGCTCTCTTGTGCAACCTGAGGCACTTGACCTCTTAAACCTCCTGCCACGAGGCATTTACACCCTGTACAAAGCAGTTCAGTACCTCTGCCCCACGTCTTCTGGATTTTTCTCCACCTGCATCTCCCAGAACTAGATGCAGTATTCCAGTATTGATCTAGTGACGATCCGGGGTTAAAACTTCCTTGGCTGTGTTGCTTTCCCCTATCCTTGTGCATCCCGGGGCTCCCATGAGGCATTCTGCTACAGCACAGGGACGTTTCATTCACTGCAGAGGTGCTCTGGTATTTCCTGCCCTTCTCCCAGAGTTTGTTCCCAGTCCCACATTGCAATCTGTGGCCTCCTGAGCGGTGCCAATAGTCCTGCTTGTGGGGCTGTGTTATGAATGGTGCTGATACAACTGAATGA